GCTTATGCAAATGAAGCCCGGGAAATTCAAATCCCGGGCTTCATTTGCAAGTGCGGTATGCATACATTACCCTCCTAGTTCGAACTAGCGGGGTAGTGTAGACATACCCCATCTTACTACACCATCATTTCAAAGGTCTGAGGGTGGATCCTTCTGTGGGCTGGTGGTGGTCACCAGGGTTGGAGCGATTCTGCGCAGCGTACAAGGAATGGGAATGGAGTCTCATGAACAGCACCTAAGTGGAAATGTTGCCAGCAGGAAACCTGAGTTGTCACCTGCACCCACAGTCTCCGTAGTGGACAGTTGTTTCTATAGCCTGTTTCTTATGATGGATGGCATGCTCTTTCCATTCCTTGTCGGGCCTTTAACAACCCTGCTGCTTGATGGCTGTGTCTGCTCCAGCTGTCTTGGTGATCAGGGTTTGGATGATGGCAGGCCTGTTTTCAGAAAGGCTATGGGGTCGCAGCAGATTGGGCAATAAAGACTCAGGTCTGCCTTTGGAGGTCTGCCTTTGGGAGCAACCTGTGGTGCTGCACACAGGACTGTGTTCCTGGCATAGCGGCAAGCTGAGATTCTGATGGTTTTGTTCCTATTCCTGTCTCAGAACCTGTGGTATAACGGGTGTGGCTGAGGGAGGGTTGAGGCTATGAAACTCAGGATTGTCTGTCAGTCGTACATCACAGTTGGCCCCAGCCTTTCTGCATGTCACTTTCATGCCCCTTACTCCCAAACAGTGTGCACCGAAGGCCCATGTGTCCCCTTTGCTTAGATATGTATTACAGAGCCCTAACTGAGCCTGAAGGCTCAACTGGGCTGAGACAGTAAAAGAAGCAATGGCTCTGGCCGAAAAGAAAGTGCACCAGCTTCTCTGCTTTCTGCTGGACCGTTGCATTATTGTTCAATCTCATTCTCTTTCATCTGGTGAGTCCCACTTCTAAAGTCTGTCTTGCCGCCGACAGATTCCTGGGAGGGAGGCAGGGGGATGGAGGAGGGTAAGCCCTTTAACTCCAGCCTCCATGATTGCTGTCTGATAATATTATTAACAATAAAATAAATCCCCAAACTGACTGGTACATCCTTTGCTAATGCTGGGGTGGAAGCGCTTTCTCCAAGAGCCCTAGAGCTTTGTTGCTGAGCTCTCCAGCTCTTGCTCAGGATGTTTGTGGGCTCCTCTTCTCACTCAGACAACCTCCTTTTCAGTAGCAGTTGCTCAGCAACAAGGTTCTGAGAGACAAAGGACTCCACCGATCTCTAAAGCACTGGTGGGCCTAGAATCCAGGGCCCTGAACCTAACAAGAAGCATCTAAGCTGGGCCCTATTGCTTTGAAAGGCATGAACTGCTTGTGGCCTATGGCTTTTGGAACGCACATCAGTGATGAGATTTGGGAGTCTCAGCCAGGTCTTAGCTAGAAGGATGGCTATGTTGATGGGGAGGCAGGAACTCTAAAGATACCCTGGATGATGGAGGTAAATGGTTAAAATGGCAAAGGAAGACTGGATTGCAGGTCAACCAACATCTGTTTTATTCCCCTTCATACCCTGCCATCTCACCTAGAGAGGCAGCTGTTGAAACCTCAGGCTGTATGTGACTTACTCCATTCTGGTGCATTATGACATTCACTATAACTCTGTGCAGTGTGGTGTATTGGGTGGCCTTTCCTGTCTGTGTCCGGCTGAGACTCCTCCCAAATCCTTGTCTCCCACTTCATATTCTCAATCTGTTTGTTTCATGCACAGGCTCTGATCCAGCTGCCACCCTACATCTCTCAGTGTGAGGAGGTTCTTCAGTTCTTCGAGACGAGACCTGAAGACCTGAATCCTCCCAAAGAGTAAGTTGGTTACAAAAAGCAGGTGGGGCTTCTCCGCAGAACTGCTGTGGTGATGGTCACATCCCCTGCCACAGATAACCTCCCCCGCCCTCTCAGAGCACTCCGACATTCAGAAGAGGCTCTGAGAGCCATGAATAAATCCCCAAACTGCCTGTGAATGTAACGTTCATGAAGGATGCTGGGTTGAGATCCTGGAGAGTGAAGCTCTTTGTTTAGTCATAGAGCCAGGGCCATGCAAGCTTTCTTCACACACTGCTCCCTGCCAGTGTGCCTCAGCCCACCCCAGAACATCCTCTGTGAATGACGAGATGAAGCGCTTTCTCCGGAAACCACTGAATCCTTGGCTTTGGTGCCACCCTTCATGCCACTTTATGCTAATCATGGTGCTGGTTTTTTGTAATACAATCATCTGGGAAACCCAGATTCTTTTCCTGTAGGGACTAGCAAACAGGCATCAGATAGGAGAGCCTTGCATTTATTAGTAACCTCTGCCTATAGCAAAAGACTCTCCCTTTGCCAATTCCACAGCAGTGCCTGACGCTTGCTTTCCATTGGAGACAAAGAACATGTGCGAGGACTCTTGCATATCTTACGCAACCCGATGTAGTTTCTAGTCTTGTGACTATGAGCTACATGTTCCAGCCTCTATTAATCACCCAGAGCATAAATACAAACACTAGCCTCCCTCTCCTGCCCTGTGGCTGTCTCTCCAAGCAGCTCTAAGGTTGAGCAATGGAGGAAGATTGATTGATTGTGCAAGAAAAGGCAGTATGATCATTTGACATTGTTTTTCATTGCATGAGAGGGAGATTAAAAGGGTTTTGTTTTTCTCTGTGAAGGAACATTGAGTTTTCATGTCTCCTGCTAAGTGCTGTGCTTGTTCCTTTTGGGATTTCCCCCCAGTCTTAAGCTTGTTTGTTTATTTTTCTCATTGGTCTTTTGTTTTTATTTTTCTTGCCCCATCCTTTTTCCTTCCCCAGCCAGCAGTCACTTGATTAGATTGGTCTGTGGGCCCCAGAGTCCATTAACTAATAGCTTGCTGTCAGCTGGAATTCCCATCCATACTGCCCAAGTTATTGTTCACCAGTTAACCTTTCGCCCCTTCGGTCATCCTTCAGCTCATGGAGCAGCGTGAGAGTAAGTGAGAGACCTAAGAAGACTGATTTGCATGAGCAGTCTCTAAGGCGGTGTGAACTAGGGATATTAGATAGCAGGTATTAGTATAGTTGACTAACTGCAGGAATACTTAGCAGTCCGGCTCCACTCCCTGAGTATCAGAGGCAGCAGTGCAGGGTGCCAGGTAGGAGCCGGTCTGCGAGGGGAGCCAGTTTAAAAACCAGTGCCCCTTGTGGATTGGTTGCCTGCTGGTTGAGCTCCCCATGGACAGAGGCTGGTGGGAGTGTAGAGGGGCCAGGGGAGGCAGCCCAGACTGGCCGCAGACAGCGGCTGCTTCGCGGTAGCCTCCCTTGCCTGCCCCATGTTATTGCCTCTGATAGAGGCAGCAGTGCTGGGGGGAGAGGCAGCACCACAAACCCAGTGCTGGGGGGAACCAGCTTTTAAGCTGGCTCCTCCCAACACTGGCTCCTGCTTCCACCCCGCTTGCTGCCTCTCATACAGGGGGGGGAATGCGAGTAGTTGACTAGATTAACCAGTGAGCCTAGGCTTATCGGTTAATTGACTAGTCGACTGTTCCTCCACATTCCTAGTGTGAACATCTAGGAGTCTGCTAGGGCAAGGAACATGGGGATCCCAATATTTTGGGGCATCCCAGTTCCCGATGATGGAAGGGTGGGAGGATGTCAGTGTGATTTCTTCCCACATTGACAAAGTCTATTATGAACAGTCTGTAAATAAAGTCAGGACTGCTGGGATCCACCCAGTGAACCTGCTGGTGAAACATGCTCACACATGGTGCCATGGGGTGTGTGGCCAGGGGTTGTCATCTCCTTTCTTCCTGCTGTGCCCACCCTTGCCTGCTCTATGGGGTATGAAGTTGCTGTAGGGCATGGAGGTTGCCACAAAACAAGGGGGCAGTTTGAAAGTATTTACAACCCCAGGATATATCTAAAAAAATTAAAATGATGTGGGATGGCAACTCCATTGAAAGGTTCTTTGTCTCCCACCTTTGCACCCCAGACTGACTCTGCTCGTTCGAGGTTTTGCTCCCGCAGACCTGCAATGTACAGATCTCTCTCCTGCTCCAAACTTTCTTCTTCTCTGCATCAGATTGGTGCTCATTTGAGAGAGCCAAACAAGAAGAAAACAAAGGCACTGACCTGACATGCAGAGAAGCTGTGTGCTCCGGTGTTTGGGCCATGCTAAGACTTGGAGTGTCCCTTGCAGTGTTTTGGCTTATATGTGTCTCCCAGCACCTGTCCACAGCCCCATTCACACGTGGTGCATGTGGCACATGTTTTACTTGCATTTGTAAAGGTTGGGCTGCTGCAGCAAGTGCCAGATCAACTGCTGTGAGTGCCACACTGTTTGGGAACGAGGTTAGAGTTCTGCTGTACTTGGGCTGTTAGAGAATTGGCTGATGCAGCCTGGTCGTGTCTCCCAATGTGCTGCCCTTTAACGGGGAGGAGAAGAGGGCTTTTACAATACTAAAAATGGCTTAGCAGACTTCTATCCATTTGCCTGCAGCACTGAGTTGCTGTGGTGTCTCAAGGACATCTCAGTTGTCTTTCTGATCCCAACCCAAATGCTCCAGGGTATTTAATAGCTACAGTTCAAAATGTTAATGGATTAAAGTCTTTGAGGCTCTTCTCTGGCAAGATTGGTGGGAGCCATTTTGTCAGCTCCACGTGGACAGGCTCCCAGGTTGTCAGTAGCGATGTAAAACCAGTGACAGACAGCTGGGGTGGATCCCATATAGTGGTGTGCCTGGGATTTGGCTGGATGTCATCATTCATAAAAGAGATAAATACTTTCCCTGGGAAGTTGAAAGGCAGCCAGGCCATGAAAGGAATAAGAAGGCGGCTTTTGATGCAGTGGCGGCTGGAAGGAGAAAAATGGATAGGTCAGCATGCTCTGTGCCAAGCAAAGCCATCATTCAGTCATTCTGGTGGCACCACTGTCCCCCTAATTTCCTGCCCCCTCCCCTCTGCAGTCACTGGTCCCCTCTTGCTCTTATAAATGGCTCGATGCCTGTTTTTGCTCCCTTGGCAAAACTCACATTTACTTCAGTGGGAGCAAGGACTGATCCTTGGAGAGAGGAGAAGCTCTTGTGTCGTTGGGGTTGCCTGGCTACCTTCCTGGGTTCCTGGGCAAGGGATAGAGATCCACGTACTATCTACCAACCTGTCGGGGGGTGCACCGCGGGGGTTCCACCTACCCCCTCCCGGCAACACCTCCCTTTTCCTTTTGCCCTCTGGGCAGGCGGGCCGAAGGGACATGGGGGGTGGGGGTCTTGGCCCCCCTCCCAATGCCTCCCGGTCCCCTAGGCGTGCTGGCTGTCCTACCAACCCTTCAACCTCACCGCCACTGCCTAGCGGTGCTGTGCCCCTGGGGCCCCCTAGCGGGCTTGCCCCTCTGGTTCGAGGGTCCCGCCGCGAGGTCTTCTGGCCCGTGTCCCAGTTGGGCCTCTGTACTCGCCACGGCCTCTCAAAGTCACTCGCTTTCTTCCTGCCCTACCTTAGGGCGGGGGAGGGGAAAGGAGAGTGGGTAGGGGGGCCTGGGCCCTAGGGGTCGGTGAACGCCGCCCCTTTAAGGTTGGAGCGGGATTCTGCTCCGCAAGTTTCCAGCCGCACAGAACAAGCCTGCCCTGGGTTCCTTCCTACCCCTCCCCTCCTCTCAGACTGGGGTACCTGACTCGTCGGCATCTCCAGCTGGGACGCCGTCCGCTTCCCCGGGGGGTGCCACCTCAGCCCGTCGCTTGGCCGCTGGCTGCTCCTCTCTTGGTCCGGACCACTCTCCCCCACAGGTGGACCCTCCAGCTCTTTGTGCTGCCGGAAGGGTGACTCCTCCACTGCTTCTGGCTCCCCTTTGCCTCCCGCTCCGCAGGGCAGTTCTCTCTCCCCCTCTCCGGTCATGCCACCGGCGTTTAAAGCGCCTGGCATCTGGTGTGAGCATGCGCTGCACGGGCACGGGGGAGGGGCCTGGCAGCCGGGATTCCCAGCTCCGTCACAGACACCCCTTCCTAGGTTCGGTTCTCTGCCGCGTCCCCCCTCCTCATCTTCCCTCTCTGCCCGGGGAAAAAAAATCAGCATTTCCATGCGCCTTACCCGGGCGGTGTGCCACCTCAAAACTATAGGGTTGGAGGGAGAGATGCCATCACATAATTCTTGCATTCGTGTCTTTCATGGAATTCAGCCATTTAAGGGGGGCATGGTCCATGACCGACTGAAAATGAGTTCCCAACAAATAATAGCAGAGGGCCTCAATCACCCACTTCACCGCTAGTGCCTCCTTCTCGATTGTCGAGTGTCTCCTCTCTCGCTCAAAAAGTTTGTGACTTACATACAGTATGGGGTGTTCTTCCCCGTTAGAGCCATGCTGTCGCAAGAGACCAAATCCTGTCTCAGAGGCGTCCGTCTGCAACACAAAGGGTTTGTGAAAGTCTGGTTGTGAGAGAACCGACGCCTGGGAGAGGCATTTTTTTAAGTCCTGGAAGGCTTCTTCGCAAGCCTTCATCCGCTGCTCTTTTTGTGGTTGCGAGTTCTTCGTTAAGTCGGTTAAAGGTGCGGTTATGGTGGCAAATTGGGGAATGAAGCTTCTATCATAGCCCGCTAGCCCTAGGAATTGGCGCACTTAGCGCTTGGTTGTGGGGGCACGATAGTCTCTCAGGGCTTGCACCTTGTCTATCACTGGACACATTCATCCCTTGGTCTGTTAAAATCTCCCTGGGTATGCTTACTCAGGAGAAAACAATCTCTAATTCATTAGCTATCACTGATGCCGTCATCCAGCGCAAGGGGTTTGCCTCTAGATAATGGGTGGCGTAATCCGTAATCACTAATATATATTGGAACCCATTCTGTGACCTTTCTAGGGGTCCTACC